AAATATCTAGAAATTGAACATGAGGACCGGCGATTGCCGGTGCACATCAGAAAAGATTGAGCTAAAATTAAGATATACAACAAGATATATGTCTGACTGCAGAAAGTGAATCTCGGTAGGTAGCTTGGTAAAGTGCATTTAATTATAAACTGTTTCTCCTAGTTGTAGTGGTGCTGGCTAGCTAGGTTGGAACCTGAAGGTACACCTCCCATAACTAACATTCTTCTGCTGCTACTATAGTGACAACACTTGAGACGGTGAGATGTACATATGGACCTAATTGATCAACTTCTTCAAAATTGTCTGTTCTCTTGTTCAAGTTATTGATTTTCAAAGCAATAAATATGTGTGTGTAAACAGATATGGAAAACCTGCAAAATCAGCAAAGCCGACCAATTTTTTGTAATTTCTGGTTTGTTTGAACTTTGCTGATTAATTTTTGCAGAAGAAATTATAACCATAAGATATTAATTTTCTTGTCAACATTCTTCTCGATCTTCTCCCAGATTATAACTTACCAGGTTATACATGTGACAAACAGCAGACCTAACTGAAGATGGAAAAACATTCTGATAAATATGAATGCCATTAATGTTCCATTGAATGGTAGATGGCTCAATAGTTCGTCCATAGTTTCACTGCATGCAAGTTTCTTTTCAAATCATGTTAGTTGGTAGCTGCGTCGGTGCACATGCAACCACTAAAACTGAGGTAATAGAACAGGAGCTCGATTAGTAAGAATGTCAACGAATCAGACTCAGATTGAATTATAGTATATTTAGATCCGATTTATTTAGTGAAATAAATTAAATTGGATCTTATAAATTTGGATCTGATTTTGAAAATATAAAATTGGATTTTAATCCTAACGGACTTGGATTGAATTTAAAGCTTTATCGGATTTATCATTTGATTTTTATAAAAAAATTTATGATTACTACATTTCATATAATGCTAGAATATAAAATATATTTAAATAACTATATGTATAATAAAATATATTAAGATAATATTTTATTTAAGTGTCACATAATTTAAAAGTAAAAAATTAAATAATCTTAACTAAAATTTATCTTTAACTAGGTAGAAAATGTGATCAAATTAAAAAAAATAAAAAATTAATAATTTTTATTTCTTGTCCACATGGCTGAAAAAATAGATTGATGACATCAAGTTTTGAAAATGTATATAAGTCAATTTATAATTTTTTTTCCTTGAAATTGAATTAAAAAAAATGAAAAACTTTATGTTTTTTTTAAAGAAAAAATACAGCCGTCACTCGTTAATAATATGCGTAATTTGAATTTTATAATAAATAAACTCTAAATTTCAACCTAATTTCATATTTATATATTTTTTCATATTTAAATTTTTACTATTTTAAAAATATTATATTTATTACAAAAATATTATTTTTAATTTTGAATCGGATTATTATGAGATCGAATTAAGATAGATCAAGATGTGATGTATTTAATGAACGAGTTAATAGATTCGGATAATAATCGAATTCGGATAAAAAAAATTGTTTACCAAATTCATTTAATTATATCGAATTTGGATCAAGATTCGATCTATTTACAGACTCTAAGCTCGATCATACATACATACATATATATATATATATATATACATATATATATATAGTAGCATGATAAATTCCCAGCAATTTCTTATTTGAAAATCCAACATATATCTTTAAACTTGATCTTCAATCTCAAAAATGTTTCTCTTGTTCAAGGAAAAAAACTAGGTTTAACAAATGTGTTTATGTAGTGACTTGGTTCACTAATTTATACGATTTGGAGGAAGGGAAGAATTGATGATGATTTTATAATATAAAGATAAATATATCAATCTATTCTTATATAATCCTTAAAGTCTCTTATATATTTTAAAATTTTTTATTGCAAGTTATTTCTGAAAATGTTTAAAATGTTCAATCTGTTTTTAACACCAATTTTTCCGATCAAATGAATTTTTTTGACCAAAATAACTCCGGTTGAAATTCAAAGAAAAAATAAAATAGAATTCCAATAAAAATAGAACAAGTAAGTCACATGACTTTAAGGGTTTTTTTTTTTTTTTTGCATTTTAATAAAGGGTATTTCAGTTTTAAAAAAAAATTCATTATTGAAAAATTTGATCGGAAGAAAAATTAAATATTTTTAAAAAAAATCAAGAACAAATGGGATGCAATTAGAAATTTAGAAACAAATGTAAGACTCGTAAACATTATTTAAAGACAAATAAATATATTTATCTAGAATATAATTACAAGAACTAGTTTTTCATTAAGAAATTAGTATAACGAAAAATGAGTACTACATATACAAGAAACATGTGATGTATTTTGAATCCACAACTTCTTGAAATCTTGGAGTCTAATATATAGATTTAAGTTAAGCAAGAGATCAAGGATTAAAAGCTAAGCGTGGCTGCCTATTACTGTTTGATTCAACAAAAAAATTCAAGGCTGTTTTCTACATCCCTTAAGGCTCAATATATTAAAAGATCTCCTTTATTGTTATATAACTGAGAGGAAATTAAAAGATTCTTAACGAAAACAAAAATTCAGTTAATTTATTGAAAATCAGAATAAATAACAATTAAAATAGGTAGCAATATTATTCAGGGGGTAAAACTATGCATGCATGCTAGCTCAATATTATCCCGGGATTAAATAGTTTGTAGCATTTTTTATAGATCAACTCTATTTAGAGCGATTGCATGGCACTAGCTCAATCTTATTTTTGGGGAGATAGATACATGCACGCAGATATTTATGCCGCCGGGATTCATAATACTTCATGAATCAAACTAATGATAACCTGTACTGATTAGTGTTTAGAAGACAATACGGATCTTTAGCCATTATCAACTTAGCGTAACTCTTCTTTGATGTTATATACCAAAATAAATAAATAAATACAGTTTCTTATCTTTATAACTTTTCTCACATGTTAGAAAATAATGGTTGAACTTAAAATGAAAAAAATTTGAAACTTTATACACTGTCATATAATAATTGGATTCAAAGAGCGATGGCTTTATATGCTTGATTCACATATTGGTTATGTTATATTTATAGATTTAGATAGTTGTAATTAAGTTTTATTTAAAATATTTAAGTTTTTTTATGAATGGTCCGTTCTCAATATATATGTATATATATTACTTTTTATTATTATTACTTAATGTGAGATATGTTTTTTTAAAACTTTTTGTTACTTGTAATCTATCTTTTGAGATCTTTTAAGTAAGAGGGCATTTGATAAAATAAAAATTAAGTACTGAATTTTAAGTATTGAAGAATTAAGTACTCGAAATATGTTTCGTCAAGTTCGTTTGGTATTTACCGAAAATTAAGTGCTGAATATAATATGCTTGTTTGATAAGTACTCATTATCGAAAATATTAAGGCTATATGCATAACAATTGTAACCTTATAATTATAACATGATATTTTTTTAACACAAATAAAAAATATATGCATAGATGTGTTTGTGTATACAAATAAATAAAAATTCAATAAAAATGATTATTAATAAAAAAAATTAAATACGAGTCTAAAATAACATTAATGGGCATTTCGGATTCGAGATGATAGCATCGATAATAGAGAAGGTTTCCTCTGTTTTAGCAATGGGAATAATAGAGATTGTTTTTTAATTGGTTTTTATATCTAAAGTCATAAAAATATATAAGGGCGATATAGTCATATTTGAAAAGCTTTAAAAATCTTTCAATTGAGTGTGTTAATTAAAAAGTAATAAGTTAAAAACTTTAACTTATCCGATTCGATAAATTTTGACTGAATTTAAATTTTTAATATAATATTATTTAGATTATCAAATAATTTTTTTATTAAGTACTACAATTTAATTTTTTAAACTATTTAAATAGGTTATGAAACACCCCTTAAGTCTCTTTGAGGTTTTAATATCTTATAAAGTTATATAATTAAAATTGAGTATCATTTAAAAGACATAAGTTTTATGGTGTGTAGGTCCTTCTCTTCTCTAATACACTCTCCCTCATCGGGGGTCCTTTTTTTTTTTTTTTATCTCTTCTCTAACACACTCTCCCTTGCTTGGGGTCTATTTTTAAAGATATATCAAGTGATTTGAACTCTAAGATCTTTATGAGATTTGTTCTTTAATACTCTCTTCATTTACAGTCTATCTTTTGAAATTTGTCAAGTGGTTTGAGTTTTAGGATTTTTATTGGACCGTTGAGTCTTTTTGAGGATTTGATACTATATGGCGTTAGGTAATTAGGATTAAATTTTATCCAAAAGCCTAAAAGTGGATGGCTTATTTTCAATTTTTTTTAACCATATAATATGAGATATGATTTTTAATAGCACTTCCATCTCAATTTCAAGCAACGTGCTTATTCACATTTTTTTTATGATCTATAGCCATATATATACACACTCTACTATAAGGTTTGGGATTAAATTTATCAAGGAAAGTTGGTAAAATATGAAATCAGACGTATAGAACAAAATCCAAAAATATGAACAAGGATCAAAATTTCAAATATCAATCATGTTTTCTGTTATTCTATATGTTATCGATACTTCATCCATGTATGTTCAACCAAGCGATTTTCTCATGGCGACAGACAATTCATTATGCTCTTCATGAATTAATCCATGCCCGATGTGGAAGAACAATGCTTGATCGAGAACTTCAAGTAACATCAAGCAACTGATCACTCATATCTTAATTTTGACCTCACTGAAACCACCATTTCTTCATTGGCGAATCTTCTGATCTGCAAGGTTTTCTGCATGCTTCTGTTCGCATGATGTTTACAGAGGGAATTCCCTATGATGTTTCCAATTAACAATCAAGATTTGCAAATGAGGCTTAACTCAATCATCAGTCCCCCCTAAACACTTCTTCAAGGTATCTTAAATTAGAAATGAATTTGTTTACTACTGAAAGAGGAGAAGCGTGGAAGAAGGGGCAATCTCTTGTGGCCTCAAAAAGTTAAGACTCATAATGCTTTGGATTCCCTTCAACATGGGCAATTGAAGGAGAACGAACGCTCATTGTGAGGTCAAGGTTTAGGTCAGGCAAGGCACATTGATCATCCTCTAAGCAACTTCCGGCATCCGATGTTTGCTCATTATCAACGGGAGGCTTTGTTGGCTGTTGTATGGTCTGAATTTTCAATCCAGTTGATGTTGCACTAGCAGGATTTGGAGGGTTATGAGGGCGTAGGAGATTCTGTTTCAAACGATGATTATTTGGATCGATCCCCATGTTTATAAGCTTTCTCCTTAAATGAGAATTCCAGTAGTTCTTCACTTCATTGTCTGTTCGTCCAGGCAATCTTCCAGCTATTAATGACCACCTGAAAACATTTTTACCTTTACAATCTTAATAAAGAAAAATCAAATGTGATACACTTGCGCAATATTAAGAATAACACTTTTTTTTTTTTTTTTTGTAGAATTATTAGAAGAGGACTTGTGATTTAACAATTCCATTTGAAATAAGAATTAATTTGTTGTTTCATTTTTTTAAAAGATAAAATGTGCATTTATATGAAATTTATGCAGACTGTAGTGAAATCTTCTTTCTAGACATGGTGCAATTTAATTTTTTTTTTTTTGTAGAAAACAGTCTCTTCTTAAAATTTAGCGGTAGGATTTGAAACTAAAGGCAGGAGGATAATTAAATTGTGCAATATGAATATATCTCACCGGTTTCCTAGGAGTGCATGAAGCTTGATGATGAGATCTTCTTCATCTTCAGCAAAGTTGCCTCTTTTAAGGTCTGGTCTAAGATAGTTTATCCATCTTAGCCTACAACTTTTGCCACAACGAAGTAAACCTGATCAATCAACATGGAAACCAAATATTATTAATAATTTCCTAGCAATTAATTTAAGTGATCAAACCTTTCTATATATATATATATATATATATATATAGAACTTAATCACTTAAAAAAAAAAAAAAAAACCAAGTAAGGAGATACCTGCAGCCTCAGGAAGAGAACGCCAACAACCTTCGCCATGTTTTGTAATGTAATCAACGAGTTTCTGGTCTTCTTGCTTAGACCAAGCTCCTTTGTTTGTGTCTTGTTTATTACAACAAGGTTTCCTCATTATCTTAATCCAAAGTTTCTAAGAACAAAAGAAATCCCTCGACTGGAAAAGAAGGATAGAGCAGATACCCAAGAATCCGATGGGGTAGAGATAAAGCTGAAATGGTGGTATTTAATAGGGTTGTTGATTCGATATTTGCCAAAAAAAAAAAAAAAAAAGGTTGACTTGGACCGGTGGTTTAGCCATGCGTGTGCGGGCAGGGCGCGTGCCTCTAAAAGAGAAGGTGCATCCAAAGAGGTTTCACAATTTCTTTTTCTTTTTTCGCTCGGTTAGGTTAGTCTTTGCCGTTGAGTACAAGTCCCCATCCCTTACTCGGTACTCCCGTACATTTCATGATACTCATTTTTTTCATGGTAATAAAATTAAAATTTCACAAGATGTCACTAAATTATGTTTGTTTATTTAATTTGATTGTCAAATGTCCATTTCAATTTAAAAATTTAAGCTATTATGTAAGATTTTAAAAATTATTTTATATTGCTTTTTTAACATATTTATTTAAATATTTTTTTTAAAAAATTTCAAACTTGCACACACACTTTTTAAATTTAAAATTTATATATCTTTTTAAGTAAAAACTCTTTGAAATTGAAATTTACGTACACAAATCTATAATTATTGTATGCTTAATTAATAAAGAAAGTAAGAGTTATAAGATTCGAATTTGTAATTACTTAATCATCAAAGTTTTAATACCATGTGAGAAAATCATCTCAACCTAAAATTTTAAACTATTAAATTATTAAATGAGTTCTAAGAAATTTTTTTATATTACTTTTTAAGAGAGATAGTTTTGTGCAATTGAAAATGATAATTTCATGAGTACTAAATAAAATACAAACAAATAACTATTTCTAAAAATTGATCTTGCATGTTAGTTACATGTATGAGTTTGATCAGTCACCAAATCAAATAGACCATTATTAGATTCCAATGATATTGGAATTTTATCGATCAGTATTGATCTCTTAAATTCTATCAACTAGAAACAATGGCTATATCAGTATTGTTCTCTTCTGTCCAACTTGAGACAATGGCTAAATTAATATTTATTCAAAAGGATAAAAAACACAGTCAACGACATACGATCATATATATATATATAGGCTGTTGCAAGTGAGAACCAGAAACTGCAACTAGACTATTACTTTATGAAAAAAAAAAAAAAAAAAACAAAGTTTTTAGGGTTTTATGAGAAAATAAAAAGGAAGAATTAACACCGGGAAAAAAAATTGATAACCGAGTTAATTTTCTTGAGATTTAAAATAAGATGAGTGGTTTCTGAAACTAGTTATACAATAAATTCATAGTGTAATCAATCCTTTTTCTTTTTATGTTATGGGTTAATATTTTATGATTTTTTGTTTTGTTGATCTTGTTTTTTTTTTTTCTTTTTTCGGGAAAAGTTGATGAAGTTAGGGTGTGTATGTACTCATGAATGATAAAAGATAGAGAGACTGTGATTGTGTCAATAAAAGTAGCAATTAAATAAATTAAGTACGAGAATAAATTGGAAGTTGCACTCTATCACATGTTTTCACGTTGACTGATAGTTTTCATAAAAAATTAGTAGATAGAGAAGCATGAGACAATTTAATCTCTTTTAACAAACAGTCCTAAATTACTTGGCTCTGTCTGTCTACAACTTCCAGCACTCCGTTTCTTTCCTTTTACGTAGCAGTTTGACCAATAAAATTTGTTTGCAGTTCGTTCTCAGAAAATACATTTATCTCAAAAAAAAATATATATATATATATATATATATATATATACGTGAGTTTTCTTTTTTCTTTTTTTCAAGAGAGTAGAAAAAGCACCAGGAATGGAAAACTTGATATATCCAAAATTATCTACAAAAGAAAAACAGAGTAAAGAAACAAATTCTTTGAACGTTTTAACTACACACATATTTTCTTAGAAAGCAAAACCGAAAATAGGAAACCACACACCATTTTATATATATATATAAACCACTCTATTTTTGGGGCCGCTGCTGTGACATCACTTCGAGGTTGAGTTAAAAGAAATATGCGTGCGTCATTTAATTTGAACGAGTTCCCTAGCACATGATTAATTGTTACATTATATCAAATTTAATAATTGAAATTGAGATATGTTTAAAACATTTAAGTCATATGGTGGATGATTTATTTTTAATTTATTTTTTTATTTACTATAAAATCTATATTTTTAAAAAATATATTTTTGAAAGATTGATTTTTTTGGATAATGGAAGCAAATAATAAATCAAATTTGTTTTGTTATTATTTTTAAGCTAAAATATATATTGTCGTTACACGACGTTGGACGAGACCCCCAAAGAAATTAAAGTCTGAACGTTAATTATTTATAAAATTATTTACGAGTTTTTGAATTGCCACCTAGTATATAAGGAACTAGGAATCTAAAAGTGGCACCGGTTCGGAGATTCCTAAAGTAAGGAGTCTGGTTACGCTTTTAGGAAAATGTTTAATTACCTAAAAGTGCCCTTTTCGAAAAAAGGTACCATGTATGGTTTAGTTCTAAATTCACCTCCTAAAATTCCATGTCAAACTATTTTCTAATTTTAAACTCCTATTTTTTTTTTTAGACTAAGTGGATTTTTTAGTTTTGGGCATGGCATTATATTAAAATGATCGTCGGTCCCTTCGTCGGGTGACACGTCAATTTAAACATCGGATCCACTAAAAGTCTTAACACAACCGACATGTCGGAGGACATCTTAATTAAAAGGTGATTTTTGGTGAAGTCGGTCCTATCAAGTAGGAGATTTCATCGAAAATCTTGAATATTCTTTTTGGTGACGTCGGTCTTTATTAGATAGGATACTTCGTCAATTTATTTATTATGTGTTTTTTTGTGTGGTGTCGGTCCCTACCAAGTAGGAGGCTTCGCCAAAATTTTTAGGTATTTTTTTTATGACGTCGGTCCCTATTAGATAGGAGACTTCGTCAATATTTTTTTTATTTTTCTAGCAATACATATTAAAGAAAAAAATAAAAAAATTGAAATAACAATTCTAAATTAATATAAAAAAAATGACAAGGAATAAAAATAAACGTGCAAAAAAAAATGAATAATAAAAGAAAAAAATAAAAATAAAATAAAGAAATCATCATATACCTAAACCATTAACCCACAACTTTTACTCTCTCTTTTTTACCCATCCTTTTTTTTATCCTTTTTCCTTCTTATTTTTTTTCTTTTACTTATTTTCTTCTTCCCTAATTCTATTTTTTATTTCTTTATTACCCCTCTTTTTTTTTTTTTTTGGGTTTTTGAAGGATGGGCTATAGGCTGGACTAATAAAAGCCCAGCCCTCCCTTTTTTTTTCGCAAACGGGCTGGGCTTGACTAATTGCAGTCCAGCCACCCTTTCCTTTTCTTTTTTTGTCTGCAACGAGCTAGCAGCCCAGCCCCTTCTTTTAAAACCTGACTGGGCTCAAGCTCGAAAACAGGTCCATAAGATTATAAATTCTAAAATTTCGATCAAACACAGCTCCTTATCTACTCTTTCTCTTGTTCTTCACATTCCAAATTTTCTCTTAATGCCAAAAACTAAAAATTTATCTTCGATCAAAGAGTCAGTTGTGCAAATCAACCACCCAAATCATGAACGAGAATAAAAGACAACCAACTAAAAAATAATGAACATACAAAAATTAAAACGAAAAGATCAACAAGAAGAGGCTGACTTGGAAACGTGGCTGAAGAACACCAGATAAACCGAGAAAAATAGAAAAACTGACGAAACCAAAACAAGGATTTTGCATGGTTTTCTTTGATTATTGACCCTCGATTTGTTTTCTGTTACACTCGAACAACAATAATATGTTTGAAAATAGCTCAAAAAACCCCTTTTCATTGACCTGAAATGAAGAACACCAACCCAGAACGAAGAACACAAACCCAGCAACTATGAAGAAACACAAGTCGCTGCCTAGAATTCCCAAAGGAAGAACCCAAACTTTGAAGAATTGAAACCCAAATTTTAAACAAAAAGGTAGAGGAGAATTTGGAGATCTAAACTTGTCCCGAGAAATGCCAAACAAGAACAACAAGGGGGTCTGACAGATTATGAACCAAACCCAGGTCTCAAGAACACAAACCCAGAAAAAAAAAACCCAGTAAATGAAACTGCTAAAATCAAAATCAAGTCTTTTTGCCTTTGATTTTCACTCCCTCTCAACCCAGTATTCTTTTCCCTCCAATCCCCTTCTTTTTCTATGAAATTAAACTCTTTTTATAGCCAGAAACTTCCTATAATCGAATCTCAAATCCTGAATTTTTTTATCAAAATTTTTCTTCTTTAATTCATGATTAATACAAAATCAAAACAGGAAATTGCTTGATTTTATGTTGGTATTAATTTCATCCAACAATGCATAATCAAAACAGGAAATTTGATGGAGGATTTGGTAGATTTCTCCAAAGATTTTCGGAGAGAATTTGCCTTGGAGTGAACGACAGGTCGTCTTCTCCACTTTGGTCCTGTCGTTCGCTCCAAACTTCCAGTTTGATCCTCGCGTTTCAATGTTAACAATTACGCCATTCGATGGTATAATTTTAGCACAATCTCATCAATTAGGTCCATGTGAGGTGCAATTTAAGGCCTAATTTTTTAATTGACTCGATTACACCCCTAATTACTTCAATTGTGTCTCTAAATGAATTTTTTTTTTTTTGTGTTTTTTCATCATTTTCTGTCTTTTTTTTCTTTTTTTTTTTTTTAGTAAAATTCAAATTAAATAAAAAAAAACATAAATGAAAATAATAAATAAAATAATAATCATAATCATAAATAAAAAAATAAAAAATAAGAAAATAAGAAAATTTTTGAATTATTACATATATCATTACTCGCTAGACAAAAATCCCATATCATCAAATCCCTCAACTGTCAAATCAAAATAGGCTTCCATTCATAATTCAACTACACATGTAATCTTCATGTGATTTCATTTTTATTTTGACTACATTGCCCCTGCAAGGTAAACGATATAATAAAAATATTTAAATAAATTGGATAGATTTTTTTACTCCAATTGAACAACCCATCCCATCAAGACTAATTTTTTATTATTATTATCTATTTTAATACCGTAATTTTTTATTAAGAAATATGAAATCTAGTTTTAAAAAATATTATTCTTAAGAGAGAAAAAAAAACCTAAATTAAATTTTTTAAAAAAAAAGACCGACCATTATATATATATATATATATATATATATATATATATATATATATATATATATATATATATATATCGAATCAAACTCTCTCCCATCTGTCCCACTCTCTCCAGCACAAATAACCCAAACTTTGTACATACAACCTAATTAACCATGCCTTACCCAGCTCTACCCAATTTAATCGAGGGAGGAAGAAGTTTAGAGAAGCATGAGTAGGACTGATGCACATAATTGTCATCTAGATGCCATTAAGAGAATGAGGCGCTGTAAAGACATGAAGCAGAGGCAAGGACTCTAGTAAATTAATGTTTAAGGAAGAACAATACAGTGTGGCAAGGTTTTTTCGAGGTAGAAAATTTGAAAGCATAGGTGTCGAATTATATTATGAACTAAAGTAAAATGGTTTTTCACTGTAGTAATAAAAAATAATAAACAGTGATTAATACTGTTCATTGATGTTTTTTTTTTTTGGCCAGCCCCTCTGGCCTTTTTTTCTTTTTTTTGTTTTGTTACTGTTCATCTGAACAGTAAACAGCTTGCCCCCTCCTTTTTTTTCTAACACTGAACAGTTTTTTTTTTTTTATAAATTTCCTTCTATTTACTATTCACATGAACAGTAACGATTGGTCCTCTCTTTTTTTTTTTCGTAAACATTGAACTGTTTTTATTTATTTATTTTCGTTTCTCAATAATGTTGGGTGTTAAAATTTTAAAAGAGCCAACAATTAATTGGATGTTAAAATTTTAAAGAAACCAATAATTTATTTCCTTTATTATTTATTTCTAAAATTTAAAATATCTAATTTTTCTTTTGGTGTGACCATTTTTTTATTTCCGTTTATGAAAAGTGAATGGTTTTTTTTTTTTAATTTTTGTTTCTGAATAATGTTGGGTGTTAAAATTTTAAAGGAACTAACAATTAATTGGGTGTTAAAATTTTAAAGGAACCAACAATTTATTTCCTTTATTATTTATTTCTAAAGTTTAAAATATCTAATTTGAAAAATAATATTTTTTTTATAAGCACATGCATCTTATATAAATATTACTATCACATAACATAATTTATTAATTAACAATTACATAAGATGTATTTCTCAAAAAAAAAAAAAAAAGTACATATATTATAATAAAGAATTTTATTGCTCATAGTTTTTCATTTATTACTATTTTCATTAATTTGTCATTTTTTTTAAATTCTAATCTAATTAATTTAAAATTATATTTACTCATAGTTATGATTTATTTTAATATTATTCATCCAATTAATAAAAATTAAATTCACATTTTTTTCAAAAATCGATATTCTCATCAACATGAAATAAAAAAAATAAAATATTTGTTCAATTCTATGTAAGCTTTTAGTAATTGTTTTTTTTTTCGACACAATCTTATAAAATACTAATTTTTTTAAAAAAATATTTAATTATTTTTTAATTAATAATCCATATATTAACAAAGATAAATCCTTTTTGTAAAGAAAAAAATGAAAAACACAAATAAGAAATTGTTAAATACAAAATTTTTTATTAAAAAATTATAATTATTTTTTTATCTTTGATTTCATGTATTATTATAGATTCACATTATAAAATAAATTATTAAATTAAAATAATTCTTTTACTTGATTTTATATATTTTATCCAACCGACAGTATAACGTGTATCAAAACTCTATTTACTATGCTAATTTAAAACGATTCAGATCCTCCTAGCTAGCCTCATCAACCAAACAAATGGCCGCCAAACTCGAGAAATCGATTGAGCTATTGGGGAGTGTGATCAGGTTGGTTTTGTTGAAGAAATGGGAAGTGAGGTGGGGAAAAAGTGGACAATGGTTTGATGGATGTTAACGAGATAGAGAGGAAAACAAAGAGAGATGGAAGAGGGATGATTAATTAAGGTATGATGATTAATTAAGGTATGAGAGGTGTCTAATCATCTGGAAAGTATATGATGTATGGTAACTTTAGGGAAATTGAACTTTGCTCTTATGATTAAAAAAAAAAAGGGAAAAAGAAAATTAGTCTTAGTGGATTGTTGGGTTTGACATAAAAAATATCTCTTCAAATTATTTTGTTCAAATTTTATTTATATTATTTACCTTGTAGGGACAATATGGTAAAAAAAAAGTGAAAATCACAGGAAGAGCACATGCCCTCTTAAATCATGGACTCATGGTATTAAAGCATTTTTGGCTTTCGAAGTATTTTATTTTGATTATTTTGGACCCAACGTATAAAATTATTTAATTTGAATCTAAATTATTAAGAATTGAGTAAGTTTAATTTAAATTGTTTAATTCTCGTTATTTTTAATGGTCAATTGATAGTTGACTGTTAATTTTTTTTTTTAGTTGAAGCCGAGAATGGGGAGAAAAAATAACCCTGGAAACAAATAACGTACTTGTGAAGGTCTTCCTCCAGTTTGTACTATTACTCAACGGACCACTCAATAGCCAAACCAGCATCATGGTTTAAGCCAGGAACGGAATCAAGAAGCAACGAAGAAGAGGCAGAAGAATTCCCAGCTTGAGCTTGAACAATTCCACCACTCCCACAACCATCAGGATTGGTGTTGTTACTAATCATGCTGGAATTCCCAGGCAACATCGAGCTACTACTAGTAGCAGTATTAATATCATAACAAGACCCCATCCCCATGGGAATCATATCCGTTGACGCTGTTTATAGCCCCTGATTGAAATGAAATTGCGTCCCGATTAAGCGCAGAACCTAAGGTTCCCTCTCGGTGAAACCCAGCGTTAGACTGCTGCCATTTATTTCTTTCATTTGGCTTTAAACAACCACCATCGTCACTTCCAAACTAATTGAGCTCTCGACTTCAACTAATAAAATAAATAACAGTCAATTCATCGTTCATCGTTAGAAATAACGAAAATTGATTAATTTAGATCATATTTATTCAATCTTCAATATTTTGATATTCAAATTATGTAATTTTATACTTCGAATTCGAAATTGTCAAAATGAAATATTTTGGAGGTAAAAAATATCATAATATCCTTAAATCATGTATGAAAATAATTTGATTTCACAATGGACTAAATCAAATCAAACAATTGTTGAGGGATTGATGATACAAAAATTTTTATTTACAACGAATGCTATTCGACTAATAATTCAAGAGAATTGGGTATATTTTAGCCTTAGTTTTATTTTTTTTAGATTAATATCCTCACATATCCTTATAAATTAGGTCAAGTTTTCAATTTGTTCTTAAAAGATAAAAAAAAGCACCTCCAATATATTCTTATTATTTGAGGTGGTTCTAATATATCTTTTTGATTAAAATTTCTGATCTATTTCTAAACAATAATTTTCATATTATTAGATATAGATTATTTGTATCAAATAATAAAGATAATTTTATCAAATCACATATCGGACACAAATTTCATATTAATTTGACCGGAAACTTTTGAAAATTTTAACTAAAAAATATAGATTAGAAATCACCTCAAATAATAAGAATAGATTAGAGTTTTTTTTTTTAAAGGATAGATTGAAAAATTAACTTATTTTATAAAGACATGTGAATATATTAACCTTTTTTTTAAAAAAAAACAAAATTTCTTTTTATTTACGAACCCATCAATTTTTTTATCCAAAATATTTGTGCAGCATTAAAAAATTGTAGGGTAATGATTCCACATTGTTGCCAGTTCAATTCTTTTTTAAAAAAAGAATCGAATGCAATATTTAAAATTTAATATGTAAAAAGATACTAACTATCTCACAATTAAAATTGAATAAAGATTCAACTGATATGTAGTACAAATAAATACCGTTAAGATCTAAAAAAAATCAAATAAGAGATTAAAGTTATAAGAAAATCCTAGAAAACCAAAAGGTGTAAATCGAGCAAAAAAGTTTAGGTTTTAAGACAGAAAAATCTAATAAACTATGAAGGTTTTTTTTAGGAAAAACTTAAAAAAAAAAAAAAAAGCAACAGGGAAAGCAATAAGTAAATTGTAAGAAAGTGACGAAAAACAATAAATAAATTGTAAGAAAAATAAGGCATAAAACTGTAAATAAAGATAAATTTCAAATGAATAGTAAGAAAGATAATTGTAAAGATTTAAAGAAAGATATATTTGCAATAGAAAATACGTGTATTAATTGGGTTGGCCAAAAAATTTACATCGATAGTACTAGAGAATATTCAATTTAATGACCAAACAAACTTGAAAGTTAAGTTGGATTAATTAGGAATACATTTTTTTTAGTTTCTTATACCATAAAATCACGAATTTAATATATTTTAATTATTTTGAATCGTTTTTTCAAAAATGAATAAAATACATAAACTAAGTTTATAACACTATATTATATAACAGGAGAGATTTTTCCCGTTCAAAATTTAATTTTTACCTAACATGACAGGATATATAGAATGACACTACGTATTAAAATCCATCTAGAATTACACGTGATTAAAAATTAAAATTCCTTTCTTATTAAAGATTAAAATTTCTTCCTTATTCGGAAGACATGTCGCCCATCCAATTGATTAAAAGATAGAGATTCTACAGATACAGATAACTGTTCTTCTATTTTAATCAAAGATCTTCGCAACAGGAGGGTTTTCTCTCCAGTTCCAGTTGCTGTCGAGTCCGGCTTGTGTGTTGACAAAGAAGGCATAAAGTGAACTGATGAAAAGGGTGATTGTGGGATTTCTCAAGATGCCCAGAATTTTGCAAGTGTAAAACCTGCTGATTTTTCTAATGTGAAAGAAGATGTGGGTGTTCCTGCAAAGAGAAGATTATGGAGGATGACATCAATATTCTCAATGGGATCGCAAGGGAAGGAAATGGTGAGATTTTGAATGAGGAATGTGTGAAGGGAACACCACCTGATGCAGAGATCTTCAATTATAGATTACCTGAAAATGGAGGCAGCAAAGTAGAACTACTTTTGAAGGAAACGGGACTAGCTTCACAGGAGCTGTCATTTGAAAGTGCACCGAAAAGGGAATTTGAGAAGGAAATTGGCAATAACCCCGCAACCAATTGATAGTGGTTTGTGTTTTGGAGATTATTTGTTTTTTAAATCTGAAGTCAATTAAAATTGGATGGGCAATCAGTTGTCCAAATAGAGGAATTTTAATTTTTAGCTACATGTAATTCTAAATGGATTTTAATCCATAGTGTTATATTATTTTTCCTGCAATCAGATAAAAACAAAATTTTGAATGAAAAAATTCTTTCATTATAATATGATTATCCAATATTTAATTCATGTATTTTTTTATCCATTTAAAAAAAACATGTCAAAATAATCAAAATGTATTAAATTTGTAATTTTATAATGCAATAAATTGTTTTTAAAAAACTAGTATTTTTTTCTAAAAAGAAATTTTATAAGGAAAAAATGATTTGTTATGTCTTTATATAATGAGCAAAATATCAAATTTGTTCTTATATTTTAAAATAAATAAATTATATTTGTATTATTTAAACGAGTTTTAATTTATCATTTTAGTTAATTTTTTCAATCAAACAATTTGAAAATATCACGGGACTTATATATGTTTTTTGTTTTTTTTAAAAAAAACAGCAATCTCTACTTAACACGTGCAAGTCATACTTTTGCCTGAAAAATCAATCACAAGCGTGGGTGTTAAAAAGTGAATCAGCCATAGCCTGAAAAAACAAACTCATTATTATATCCATCAACTGCGTATTTTAAAGTCGGACAACCTTAACAAAGAACTGGTTGCTTCAACATATGCCAGATCGGACAAGACCTCGTGATTAAAAGAACCTTCTCAGACAGGAGGTAGTGACGGAGTTTCTCAACCTCAAAGATAGACTCAAAAAGTCCGTTCGATTTTACTATACCGTGATTCTTCTAGCTTCAACACTCAAGAAAAGTAAGGTAACATTTATTTGGAGCTGAATCCGAGCTGAAAGATGCTAGGCTATGTCTCATCTAAGCCCTTCCCTCTAGACAAAAATGTTAAAACAGTGCTAAAGCAGGACTAATGACTATGAAAAGTGACTGCTCAATCGAAACTTGAGTTACCTTGGAATAAGTCAAGCCTATACTCAACAATGTCCTTATCTGAACTGACGCTTTATGTAGGTATTTATGGGATGGATTTTTTTTTTTTTTAAGTAATGAAAAAAATTCATTGGATCCAAATCAATCAAGATCTAAGTAGTTGTTCAGTAAAGCATTAAAATTTTCGCATTCAATACTCCAGTCTTGCCCATTTAACAATAGTATCGCAATGGGTTAAATTAAAAATTCTTGATTGCATTAAGGATCGAATAGTTGCTTACTTGTTGAAGTAAAAAGTGGAGCTCTCTCAACCAGGTATAGTTACAGAGTAAGGTAAGGTTTTTGTCATCAATCAAGGGTAGAATCAGAAGAGCTTAGTTAGAAAGCAAGCAAGCATTCCTTTCGTACCATGATCTCTGTCGCTAAGGCTTTTCACAAAAAGAGAGAGGTTTAGTCCTTCTTCGATGTTAATCTCTGAGAAGTGGTTTGAGGTGGGCTTTGAAGAAGCTTTGGAATCACAATGCTGAGGCGGTTGCTAGGATATAAAATCAGTAGTTCCATCCGATTTTGATTAATTAGGATGCTAACATACGATAGTGGAAGGAGGTATCTTCTTATAAAGATCATGGATATAATATGTTTTTTTTTTTTTTTTGGTTATGGCTGATTCTGTTTTTTGAACCCACGTGTGTGATTGATTTCGTAAGGGTGGGTGATTGATTTTTCAAAAGGACACAAAAAAAAAAAAGTGACTTGCACATATTAAGATGAGAGGGCCATTTTCATTAAAAAAAAAAAATAATCTGTACTAGTCAAGTGATATTTTTTAAGTGGTTTGGTCGAAAAAATTAAACAGAAGAATGGATTGAAAACTTGCTTAAATAATAAAAATGCAATTGACTCATTTTCATTTTAAAATATAATGATAAATTAAATATTCAGTTTATTATATCATGATAGTCATGTCATTTCTCCTTATTCTAATAAAATTCAATTCAGAAAAATATTATTTCCCATCCTCTTTACTCGTCGAATTTCCTGTATCATCATTAATATTTTTTTGAAAGTTTTTATTCTTAAGTTTGGCATATTGATTGCATTGCTCAGTCCTTTGTATTGCTTAAAGTATCAAATTTAGTCACTAAACTCCAAAAGCTTATCAATTTGGCCCAATTACTCATGTCCAATAGAAAATGTTTATTTTGAATTTCAACAAAGCCTCCTATGTTTCTTCATCTAACTGCCAAAGAAAGATGAAAGAACACCATCGCTCGAGATTTTTAAGCCACAAATATTTTCCTCACAATTGAGCTTCGTAGATAATACAGTCCGAAATATGAGCAAACCATTAATTTTCGAAGTTCGAATAAACCACCACCAAACACATCGTATAACTTTCTTATTTGATCAAATAAAATAATAATAATAATAATAATAACCAATGGCATGAGCTTGACAACCTTTCCATGAAGCTTAATGTTTCGAGAAAATCACAAGTATATTCGTTTTAATGATTTTAGCTCATTCTTTAAAAATTATATAAAAAGATCATCAATTAAGTCTCCAATAACAATACTAGCATTGTTATAATTTTTCAACAAAAATTTTGAGTAATACTGACATGGCAAGTGACGAAGCGTGGTAGCTAGACTTAATGTGTCACGTAAAATCCACGTAATCACTCATATGAAAAATCAATTACAAATCTTAAAAGATATGTCATTTCCTATATAGCCCAATTAAAATAAAATCTCCAGTCACAATAAAATTCACAATCATCAATTCAAATTAGCTCTAATTCTTTGTTCTTCATTTTAATTTTCCATAATACCAAACCACGACTACTACTAGCTGGCCAAACTAAAAATAATAAAATAAAGGAAAATAGGAAACTGAGAAGAAATTTCTGGTTTTGAAAAAAAAAAAAAAGTTGTTGATATAATGACGCCACAATTCAAGGAAATTTGCCCCACACTACAAGAATGTTCCAAGCCATGGGCAAAGCAAGCTAAAGAAATAGTACATTTTGTCCGTCTTCTTCATCTTCTTGACCTTCTTATTTCTTCTTCCTTCACTAGTTCTCTCTTTAAAACTCACTGCCTTTTGTAAATAGTGGAAACTGATCACATTTTTTTCTCCAGTTACACTCCTCTTTTATTCTCATCACTCATCTTTATTATTGATTTTCTCTACTTCGTATTTCCTTTCCTTCACCATCGTATTGCAAACATCAAGAAACACTAACCCATTAGTCCAAGACATTAGAATTCCAGCCCGCTATCACTAAAACTTAGCCCACTATAAATAAAAACCCAATAATCTCTTCAATCAATTAAAAGCCCTAATCGAGAAAAAATTCTAATTCGATTCAAATTGTTTTGTCTATCGAATCTTTGAAAAAGATTTGGAAGGAAAGGGGTTGTTTATGAGGAGATTATTAGGGAACGATAGAGGTGATTATTGATGGAGAAGAATTGAGTGGATACTAGAGAGAGGCATTCAAAGTGACGGTGGTGGTCAAAGAAATCGAAAATCAATTCCCAACATTCTTGTGGTAATTCCATGGATTGGTCTGTCATTTTGCTTGTTTGGATATGAGAGGTGGGAATTGGAGTGAGAGAGAAGAGGTTGTTCTAAAAATAAGAGTCACTAGAATTTCAGTGGCTGTTATTGGAAAATAGAGATTATTCAGATTGATATGCAACAATCAAAAGAAAAAACAGCTTATTTGCGAAGAAAGTGACTATGAACTGAAAGAGAGAAGTTCTTGGCATAAGTTACAATGAAAATGAACGAAGCTGCAAACTATGATGGAGCTTGTTTTATTTAAAACTAAATTAAATAACATAATTTTTTTTGGCACTAGATAATCTATTTCAGTACTTGTGATGAGCTATCTTAGGAAGAGCTTTTGTGAGGCAGAAGTCCTCCTTCGAAGCTTGGTCATCTTTGGTGTTGAGCACCCTCCTCTCAATATAACCTTCTTCACCCACTAGGGGTAAGAAGATCCTCAATCTCATTAGGTAGATTTACCTTCCCTCGTATGTCTAATGGATGAGTTTTTTTTTTTTTTTTTTTAAGATTATTATTTTCTTCTCTTGATTTGTTACCCCTACAGTTAATGGGATAGATCCAGTGTGGGGATTTATTTTGGAAATTTTGCTTGGGTGGTGGTTGGGGATGAGAAGAAGAAGAAGAAGAAGAATGAAGGATTTTGTTATGGCTTTATTAATTGGGTTTAGAGATTTATTTTTTTAATTGGATTGAGTGATTTTTTTAATAGGCCAAATGAGTCCTATGTGACACATTAAGTCTAACTGTCATGCTTCGTCACTTGTCATATCGGCATTGCTCGAAATTTTGGTTGAAAAATCAAATTGATGTTAGTATTGTTATCGAAGGCTTAATTGATGACCTTTCTATACAAGTTTTAAAAAACAAGCTAAGATCATTATAACGTATATAGCTCGTGATTTTCTAGAACGTTAATTAATTTTGAATTTATTTTTTAATTAATTAATTAATTATATTTTCTCGTGACAATTAATTAATTTCGGGAAAAAAATAACGAGTTATGACTATTGGATTATGACTTGTTAAAAGGTAATAGTTAGTTATTGAATCAAATTAATTTTTCAATAGTCATATTAATTATTAAAGGTTTTCGATAATCTATAAATAAAGTATTGCTTGCTCGGAAAATAATTTTTCTTTCTTTCCCAATCATTATCCTCTTCTTCCTCTCCTCTCAAAACTCTTCTCTTCATAAAATTCTATAAATTCAAGAGAAATTCTACCGAAGGAATTTCGAAGTGTTTTCCGCAATTCCTTGGATACAAAGTTAAATCCTAGAGGTGAATTGTCAAAATCTATGCAACATTATAGTGGGGGCAATAATCATCTTAAAGACGAGTGTAAGGATGTTTTACGCACGCAATTAAGTACCGTGTTCTCTTGCTTTCATCTCCAAATTTTTGCATCTACTTTAGAAATATTCAACATATAAAAATAAATTTTGATGACAATTTAAGAGTTAGATTATGTAACCCCCCTTTTTTTTATCTTTCAACGATAAGATTATTCTCAAGATATTTTATCGATCAATTAAAATTGAATTTATTTTCAAATAACTTAAAATATTGACTAATAACCGTAGTATATTATTTTAATACAATATCAATTCTGGTTATTTGACTAATTAAGTTGAAATTAGCACCTATAAAAAGTTTTCTGCATTTTTTTTTTTTTTGAAGAGTATGCTTACAAGAAGTCCAATTAAGTCTTTTATATTTGTTTATGAATAAATATAAAAAACTCCTTTTCATCTCAGATTAAGAATTCAAGGTTTGATGGATTAAATTTCTAACACATGAGTCAATTGATATATTATTAAAATATCACACTATCAGTTTGGTTGGGTGGCTGAAAGGAAAATTTAGAAAATTTGATAAAATTTAAGAGATATAATTGATATAAAGCCAAATAAAAGCAACAACCATTAAGCTGGAATAGCTCAGTTGGCTAGAGCGTGTGGCTGTTAACCACAAGGTCGGAGGTTCAAGCCCTCCTTCTAGCGATTGACTCTTTTTAAGCAATGTGAAAATATGGCCCGTGTTTATCATAATTCGCGTCCTTTGCTGCCAATTCTGTTTGAATTTCCCCATACATGGAATATTTATTACGGAGAAGCATCTACCGTTTCCCGTTATTATTGTCCACATCGTCAAATATTATTACTTTCCATTGGCTTGACAATTAAAATATTTTTTTCCTTAGTTTTAAAAACAGTTTCTAAAGTCAAGCTAATACACCTAAATCCATAAAAACCATTATAAAATGTTTTTATGGCCAAGCCAAAAAGAAAAAAAAACTAATAATCAACGGTTTAAAGTCAACCTTGATGAGTAATGCAAGTATACATTATATCATTCATTTCAAGTCTAGTGTTCGCCCAACAAATTCTATTCTCCTTAAAATTACTAAAGTTGTCCACTACAAAAACTCTAAATCTCTTTTTAACTCATGATTTACATATAAAAAATAACAATGTACTTAGATGCTTTTACTAAGCAGCAAGAATAAAAACAAAATCAAGAAGAATCCATGATTTTTGTGGCAATTTGTTAAGACGAAATAGATTTTTAGTCAATGGGCTCTTTAATGTGTTAAAAATGATACAGTTTTGTATATTAATAATGTCTAGATAAAATATACGTGTTATAGAGAGGCTTATGAGGAAGAATAGACAATCTTGATGAAATAGAGTTTTATGATAGATAAATAGGTTTGAAAATATTATTAAAAAAAAAATAACATCCTCAAATCTCATTAACCTAGATCAAAGATGAGTCTAAATCACTCTTTAATAAATCCTATTCTGAATCTGTGGAGTCAAATCTTGTTAAATATCTAATATGATCCAATAATTAGTCAAAAGTCTTGCCATCTTGCCTTTAGTCAAGCTCTTGTATGACATTAGGAATGACAATGATCGAATATAAAATATATATCTAGTTTATCTCATCCAATAAATACATATTAAAAATGTTTAATGAATATTGAAATGAGTAAAGATAAAAAATTATATATTCATTAATATAGTTTTAGGATATTTATATCTGCTCTTTACTCTATTAATACCTATTAATTTATTTTAATTTATTTTATTAAAATGTAGAGATCTAATTACATAAACATTAAAAATTAAGAACCAAAATATTTTTTATAACATTTGATGACCGAAAAAACTTATAAATAAATGACAAAAAAAAAAAAGAATTAAAGACCAAAAAAACTTTTCTTGAAAATTATAGAGACTAAAAAAAATACTTTTGATCAATTATTTTTAGTAAGTATTAAATAAATACTGTATAGGTTGATAAACTAATATGAGTCGGGTATGGATTAGATAAAAATTTATATATTAATTTTTTAATAAATAATATATATGATATTTTTTTATAGATTAAATAAAAAATTAAATTAATGGATCGAGTATCCATCTATTGCCATCCCTATTTGACATGACCGCTATCAATTGACTTATTTGAGTGATAATTGAATAGTTTTGTGTAACTTCATCCAAAAGAAAACTTTAATTAATAAAGTTTATTTATCTACATTTAATCTATTATTCCCGAGAATTTTTAAAGTCTTTACAAAATGCTCACATGCATAAAAAAAAAAAATGATCCATAAAATTTACAAAACGAAGCATAATAGAAACATTTTGTAGCATAGCATACTTATTGGAAGAAACAAATATGAAAATATGGCGAGTAATGTACTACTTAAGGGTTCTTGTAGCATGGAGGGAAAGTTCGATAAGTTTATGGAGTAATTACATGCTCGTGATTTAATTTAAAGTTTGTAAGCTAAAATTTATACAAGGCTCAAACTAGGGGACTAAAGTGTAAAAACAATGCAAAATGCCATTCCGTCTACATTTGCTTCCGTTTCCGCCACACCGAGGCGCACTATAAAACCCAACTAGCCCCTACGGGCATTGAATCAGACAAGGAGCAGAATTTTGTTTTTTGTTTTTTGTTTTTTTCCTCTTTCAAGTATTATCTTTATTTTGGGTCCTCTTTCCAATGCCCTTTGTTAGAATTTATGAGAGCGATGTGAATTTATAAAGGGGTGTGAGAAATGACTCAATTGTTAGAATTTTTAGGAAAGGGTGTTTATTTGTTATTGGTTGACAAAAGAAAAAGGTGTAAAAGGGTTTTTATCCATAAGACTAATGATTTCACGGAAGATTTCTTCTATGGGTAGATAATTTTTTCCAAAAGATATAGGTATGCCAAAAAGGAGATGTTTCCTAACCTTTGGAGCATTAAAAAAAAAATTGTATAGAATAGCCTATGAACGACACATCATGCAACAAGTGTGTCAAGATAACGTTTGAGTTGTGCATTACTCATCATATATTTATGTTTGAGTTGTGCATTACTCATCATTTTTGTTTCTCCTACTAAGCGAGCCATGTTTAAAATTCTATTGTGCTTCGTTTTTGTAAATTTCGTGCACTATTGATGAATTTCCAAAACAAGTCCTATTTGATGTTTGGAAGACCCTCCGATAGCTGAATTAGTATACAAAAAGAAGTGTTTACTATGAATAGATTTAATTATTTTGAGTTCTTAATAAAAGAAGATATGTAGTGTTATATATGTTTTTGAGCTTAAAAGGTAAAAATTTATAATGCTTGATATGTTAACCTTTATATAGGTGGAGATATGATTAACTTACATAGAGTGAAGGGTAGAAGAGTTTTTTTTTCCCTAACTCCTCACATCCACTTAGAGGTTTGGGATTCCTTTAGGCAAATGATGTTGTCTAACAATGCATGTGCAATAATGTTTTGTGATGATGTGATAGAGATAACCCAAAAAGTTAAGCCTTCATTAAATGTATGGCTTTGTTTTTTATCTAACAAGTGGGAGGAATGATTTCTTTTTCATTCAAGTCATTCATTCATATTGGACGTCCGACCTTTACTTGGTTATAAGGCCTTCGATGGCTAGTCAAATTTGTTCCATTTATGGCAAAGTCTTGTTTAGTGATCTTTGAATAAAGAAGAGGGACATTTGTTATAATTTCGATCATATAAGTATATAGGTAACCCTTTGAGTTTTTAACAAGTGTACTTGGCTAAGACTAAAATTGCGTTTGAGTTTTCGAAAGAGAGAATTGGTGATGTTCAAAAGAACTAATAATTTACTACTTTCTTTTTAGACTTGATCTTAGTGGGTATATTAAAAGTTTATTTAATGCATGTAATCTCGATAAATATGTAAATATATAGGGAAACCAAACTATTAAGTGTGAGAGTGTATAAGGAAAATGAAGAGGTTGGGCTTTTTGGAGTCTCCTTCATCTACCAAATAGCATGCACCTCAAATGTTATTAATCCATGACAAATTGATTCCATCTCCCGAGACTTGGGATTTTAAGTGTTTAATGCAAAAATTTTACACTTTTTTACCTATAAATAGATGGTGGTGTCCTTATCTTTTTA